GGTGAGAGGGGAAAGATTTGAAAGGGACCTAAGGGGCAACTTTTTCACACAGAGGGTGGTGCATGTACAAAATGAGCTGCCAGAGGAAGTGGTGGAGGCTAGTACAATTACAACATTTAAAAGGCATCTGGGTGGGTATATGAATCGGAAGGGTTTAAAGGGATATTGGCCAAATGCTGGCAAATGGGATTCGATTTATGTAGTATATCTGGTCGGCATGGACAAGTTGGACGGAAGGCTCTGTTTCTGTGCTATATATCTCTATGGCTCTATAATGTTTCAAATCTAGATGACTCTTCATCAGAGCTGGATGAAGAGTCATGTAGACTCGAAATGTTAGCTTGCTGTCTCTCCATGGGTGCTGTCTGACCTGCTGTGATCTCCAGCATCTGTTGTTTTCAGTAGTGAAGAAGGTGTTTAGTACATTTGTCTTTCTTGGTCAGTGCATTGAGTACAGGAGTTGGGAGGTCATGTGGTGGCTGTACAGAACATTGTTATTTTGGAATACCATGCTCAATTATGGTCTCCCTGCTATAGGATAGATGTTTTTAAATGTGAAATGATGCAGAAAAGATTAACGAGGATGTTGCCGGGTTTGGAGGGTTTGAGCTATAGGGAGAGGCTGAATATGCTGAGTCTATTTTCCCTGGAGCATCAGAGGCTGAAGGGTGACATTATAGAAGCTTAGAAAATCATGACGGGCATGGAAACAGTGAATAGCCAATGTCTTTTTTCTGGGGTGGGCGAGTCTAAAACTACACAGCATGGGTTGAAGGTGAGAGGGGAAATATATAAAAGGGACCTAAGGGCAACATTTTGATGCAGAGGGCGTGCTTGTATGGAATGAGCTGCCAGAGGAAGTGGTCGAGGCTGATACAATTGCAACATTTAAAAGGCATCTGGATTGGTGTATGAATAGGAAAAATATGGGCCAAATGCTGGCAAATGGGACTAGATTTATTTAGGATATCTGGTCAGCATGGATGAGTTGGACTAAAGTGTCTGTTTCTGTGCTGTATAACTCTATGACTCTAATTGAATTGTACCCTTTCTGAAGCTTTGAAAAACAAATCGTTGTTTATTTTACAACTGAATGCATGAAACTAACTGCTAGTGGAATGGTAAATATTTGAATTCTGATTAAAAAGATGTTTCATTCTTTGCTGAAGTGGATTTATCTCTGTCTGCTTTCTACTTGTAGGTGAGACAAAGTTGAAGAAGTACATTGATGGAATGTTGACCATGTGCGACAAATCACAAAACAGAATGTTGTGCATGACACAAAGTTGAAAACAGATCAAGTGCCTTATCTGGGTTAATATATAACTTTATTAATTTGATATGGAGGAATAATCTTGTTTTCTCAATAAGCTGACCTTGTCCTTTTCCCTTTTGAACACATTCTTTTGTTTTCCTCATTGATATCTCCTCATCTCAGAACTGAACTTCTGTACCTCTCTCCCCGCATCTCTCCATTGTTTGAATCTAGCCTCTGGCTGCTAACTATCTAAAAACTACATTAAGTGTTCATTACCTCATTCCTGAGCATTTTAAATAGAAACAATGTCCAAGCAAAGAATCTCACAGCACCAGGGACCAGGGTTCAATTCTAGCCTCGGGCAACTCTCTGTATGGAGTTTGCACATTCTTCTCATGTCTGCGTGGGTTTATTCTGGATGCTCAGTTTCCTCCCATAGTCCAAAGATGTGCAAGGTAGGTGGATTGGCTGTGGTAAATTGCCCCGTAATGTCCATATCTAGGTGGATTAGACATGGTAAATGCAAGATAACAGGGATAATGGAGTGGGATAGGGTCTGGGGGGGATGCTCTTTGGAGGGTCGGTGTGGACTTGATGGGCTGAATGGCTTGATTCCATACTGTAGGAACTTTATCATTCTGTTATTCAATGAAAATTAGATTGCATAGATATTTAGACACTCTTGTGCCTCTTAGATGACTATCCCATAAAACCCATATGTCCAGCAACAACGAACCCATTCTCTCTAATTAAACTATTTCAGTCATAATACAACAGTGTTATGCCAATGAAAATTGTGCAGCAAGTAGATCATCCTGCAAAAGGGAAGCAGACATTAACTTTTCAGGACTAAACTTTAATCAAAATGGTTGCTGAAGTAATCACTTTGGAACCATCCAGAGTGAAGAATTTTAGAAGCAACAATCTCAACTTAAGAATGTTCTGTGGAAACATTCCTCCAAACATTTAAATTGCAAAATGTGACAGAAAGCAAATTGAAGCACATTACATGCACAACCTGAAATTTTACCTTTTTAAAGAATGTGTTGCAAGGAAACAGTTTCTAACCAGAGGGAAAAAAAATTGGATTAGACGCAGTCTGATAAATAACAAAGAGACAATTAGCTTAGCAGATGTTATAAAAATCTCAGTCAAGAGATCAACTGGAAAAAGAGTTTTGGAAAATGTACAGTGTGAAAATTATATCAACTGTCTTTATGTAGATAATCTAACAACAGCAGTCAAAGCTTCTGAGGAGCAGGATTTCAATTCCCCACATATAAAGCCTGTATTCTGTTTAAATTGAGGAGAATAAATAGCAAAGAATGGACTACAAGATCTCGGGCTGTATTGTTTTGTGATGCTTCAGAGCACACCTCATGACTGAAATCTTTCGTTTGTGAAACAAATACCTTTGAATGTACAGCCTTTATTTTTTCTCTCCCATCTTACCAAGAAACAACATTTCTCAGTCTCCATTCCGCTTGACAACGTGACAATATGACAATATATCAGCCCTTACTGCCCACATTATAGTGTGCCAACAATCCTGATCTGAATAAACAGCACGTAAGTGCATTGCATAGAAGAGTCATTTTGTTGAAACTTTTTGTCTTGCAGTCATCAGGACAAATGCAACAATGCCCAATTTCAAGCAATCGAAACAATTTATATCACATAAAAGAAAGGTCAGTGATTGGTATGTTGATTAATTGGCTGAAGCATTGCCATGGAAACAACATTTCTGAACTATAGGCTCTCCGTTCTTCCAGGTACACATGGATTAAATATATTCCTTTTGTTCACAGAGAATGGATCCCTGTGTACGAATTTATGTTGCGCCCAGCAAGAATAAATAAACTTTGAGCTTAACTGTGAGCTTAACTGATACTTTAAATATGATAGCTGTTAGTGCACTCAGGATTGGTCAGCAAGAGAATTGCAGCTAACTTATAAACTTTTTGTTTTGGATTTTGCAAGTGTAGGCTCGTACTAGCAGGATGCCAGAAACGTAGACAATCCATTTGGCTTTGGCAATGGGCAGAATACAAACTGTACTCACGATGCACTTGCAAAATGTCAAACAATATATTTACAGGTTAGATACAAATCCATGATGGCACAGCATTTGCTGCATAGCTTATCAGTCACCTCAGAATGCTTTGAACTGTAATGGAAGCAAGTTAACCTGGATTTCACGTGAAAAGGAGAAGACACTTGCCTCATTTTTAAATCAATTCTCAATTTGACACCACTAAGTTCAAATGGGTAAAAAAAAATTCCATTCCTTCACCATGGTCAGAGTGCAAATTACAAATCTGAGCACAATGATCTGCAATTAATTCATTCAAGTTAACGTAGGGATGAGAATGAGCCAGAAAACTCCATCATTACATTCCATCTGGCATTAGTCATTGTCTTTTGTGAGAAATCAGGCATAACTTAAGAGTACATTCATATTCTAGCTAGTAAAACATTGTCACATTCTGGCAACAAATGCAGAACTGGTATGGCACTGGACCAGATATAGAACCTGTTAGCTCCTCCAGAAATAGTCCTTTATACCCTGATTATGGGAGACTAACTGTATTATACAATAGCTAGCACGTCTCTCATTCTGCTGCTTGTTTGTAATTCTGCATGAGCATTAATTTCCTTGAATTAAATATTAGGACGATCACAGGCATTGTCTTCAGTATCCGTGACAAACTCCATTTCCCAGTCACTAACTTTTGCCCTCTGTCTGGCAGTTCTCTGAGGCTGAATGAGACTGTAAACATGGTGTTATGTTCAATCCTGAGATAAGCTTCCAGTCCCACATCGCTCCGACTGCCCATTTCCACCTCCGTAACATTGTCATACTCTGTCACTGCATCAGCCCATCTGTTACTGAAACCTTTATCTGTGGCCCTGTTACTTTTACAGTTAACTATTCCAATGCGTTCCAGCTGGCATCTCACATTCTATGCTCCAAAATCTTGAGGCCATTCATAAGAGCCATCCCTGTCTTGATGGATCTAATCCATCTCACCCATCATGGCAATGTGTGCTGTGTGACACCAGCCCCTGTTTATACCTAGGTTCTGATACTAGGGTTGGTGGGCTACATTATGCTTTTAAGTGTGTGAAAGCTTGGCCCAGTTGTGTCCTCCATTGTCTATCTTTCTTAGCTGCAACATTAATCTTGTGATCACATCCACTCCTATTTTCTGAGACATTCTGAGTTCCTTTAATTCTGGTTTATTGAGTCCCCCTGATACTCATTGGCTGTGAGCTCCTGATGTCCCAAACTCTGTGATTCCCTCTTTAATTTTCCCCTCCTTTGAGATGTTGCTTAAAACCAACCTCTTTCACCAAGCTTTTGGTCACCTATTCCAATAATCCCCTGTGTGGTCAGTGTTGAATTTTGTTTATAATGCTCCTGTGAGGCAGTTTGGGATATATTGTGATGCAGTAGGTGCTGTATAAATCTAAGTTGTTGTTTATATCAGCTGTTGGTTCATTGTATTTTTCATTCAAAAGGGATTTTCAATGAAAGTGGTGGATGAATGTCTATCATCAGTGTAACTGAAGAATAGTTCAAACAAACAAAATTGATTATTAAGTCCTTAAGGAACTGTATTTAAATAAATAGTAATTACGGGGCTTTCATGCCCATAATGTCTGAAAAGTTAATTGCTTAACATCACAAAGGAAATCTCAGAATCACATATTAAACACATCATAATTAAAGTAGAATTACCTCCTCCACTCCTATAGCACAAGAAGGGGAATCTCCAGACATTGCCCAAACCCACTGAATAGCCGATTCCAGCCAATGTAAACTCAATCTTTCGAGTCCAAGTCACTCTAGTTTGGGCATTTTCGTTCTTATTAGCATTTTCAACAATTTGTGCAGTGATATCACATGCTTTTCTTGTCTTCACTGAGTTTATCTTTTCCATGGAGTTGGACATCTCAATATTCTTCATGCTTATTTTAAAATATCTGAAAGAGCTATTTACTGAGGTAGAACAAAACTGTTCATATATTTCAAAAGATACTTCCATTAATCATTACCACAGCCAGATGATAGAAGCAGTAGGTAAACATTCACTTCTTCTGCTTAAGCAATTGAGGAAATTCTTGCCTTTAATGATTAACTTTTAATGATGTACTATCCATAGGTCATTTGATGCATCGTTTTTTTTTGCGTACAACTTTAGATTATTCAGTATGAACCATTTGGCAAAAGGTGAACACAAAACAGAATTAGCTGCAGGTGACTTTTGCAAGTATTCAAGGTTTTGAATAAACGTTAGCTGCCAGCCACAAATTAGGTCTTTTGTATGAAATCAATTATTATAACCTCTGAATCATATTGAGGTTGATTTAATCCCTCTTTCCACTATCCGGAAGATAAGTTTTCAAGCAGTCATTTGGTAGTACGCAACTTGAGTATTGCTGAATAAAGACACATTTTGCCAAAGCTTTTCGTCTTGCACTCAACAGGACAATTCACAAGAGATATCAATGCAAAGAAAAAATATAATTTTATACTATACGAGAAAAGAGTGTGATTAGTTGACAAATGGACTCTGACTGTTAGAGGTGTTGCCATGGAGAATGTTGCCCAATCACAAAATCACATCGAATGTTGGACAATTTGTATGAGTTATCCAAGCGTGGGATGATTCAGTACACTCAGTATCTTGCTTATTGGAAACAGCTGAAGGGACAAACTGCTTGGTATGATTCGTCATTCTTTGGGACGAACAGGTAGTCTCTGGGTTGCAAAGGAGTTCCATTTTTGAGTCTGTTTGCAAATCACTTTGTACATAATTCGGAGCACGATGCAGGACAATATAAAATAGATATTTGTAAGTACGAAAAATCCTTCATTTGTTGGATCTTTAAAATTCTTATTAATGCACTCTAGTATGGATTGCGCTCGTACGTCGGCTGCTCATAAACCCTCCCGGTGTTGCCTATATGCCTGACATCATTTTGACACTGAAATTCATATACCATTGCATGTTGGGCAGTATGTCATTTTAGTTGATGGCAGGGTAATCTGAAGTGTATTGGGTACTTTTCAGGATCAAAGGTCTTAGAGACGTTTATGAGTCTGCAAGACACACAGTGAGAAATAATCAGATCGAGGTAGTCCTTATCCTGCAGAATGGTTTTGATGTGCTCTATTTTAGTTTCAAAGTTGCATGGTGAACAAATGGATTAGTTCCTATTTATGAGGTTGCGCGGATCTGTAAAAATTCCTTCACACATATTACAGGTAGTTCAATACACACACCGGTGAAGGTAGTTTGGCAGTTAATCGTGAGTTAGCTTCCAACTGGTGCATTTTCCTCGGCAACACTTTTAACATTCAAAGTCCACTGGCCAACTAATCATCACTCTCTTATAGTTATTAAGCAGGGTTTTTTTTAATACACTTCATTGTTATTTTTGTGTCCTGATGTGTGATGGGCCAGATTTTCCTATCAGGATTGGAAACACTGGATGCCTCTGGCAATCTATTAGCATAGTTCAGTCCCCTTTGTTTCTGTGAACATAGATGCCCTTGCAAACAAAATCTTGAGTTATGTAAGCAAGTAATCCTGCAAAGCTCCGTAACGATGATCTGGCCAAGAAACTCAACAGAAGCTTATGGTGCAAAGGAAACGAATTCAATAACTATCAATGCCTGTCAGAGTCTCTTACTGTTTACTTTTAAAAAAACAAGAATTCCCTTGAAGGCAAGACCACCAGATTTGGCTAATAATTCCAAGACTCCACAAATGTTCATACAAAGTACATTCAGCCTCCAACCTAGCCATTATCAGATTTTTGCAGACCTGTCCATCTTGTCTCACTACTGCCCCAACTTCCTCAGCATCCTCATTATCACCATCTCCTACCGACCAACCTCATCCCGCCCCCTTGACCTGTCCGTCCTCCCTGGACTGACCTATCCCCTTCCTAACTCCCTACCTACACTCGCCTTTACTGGCTCCATCCCCGCCTCTTCGACCTGTTTGTTTCCTCTCCACCTATCCTCTCCTCTATCCCTCTTCTATCCACCTCCCACTCTCTCCCTATTTATTTCAAAACCCCCTTCCCCTCCCCCTTTTCTGATGAAGGGTCTAGGCCCGAAACGTCAGCCTCTCTGCTCCTATGATGCTGCTTGGCCTGCTGTGTTCATCCAGCCCTGCACCTTGTTGTCTCGGA